GGCAGCCATGTAAATTTAAATGAAGCCGCGATTATTTAAATCGCGGCTTCATTTCCCTTTTTCGAATACACAAATGTACATGCCTCCGTTGAAGGAGGCATGTAGTTTAGACGTACCCTTAGTGTACTATATGCAGTATAATACTGAGTGAACTTCTCATACACAGTGTATTTATAAACAAGAATGTTGCAAAGCAAATATAGCAATGGTGTCCAATCTGCATATCTTTGGCCACTTGTGGTCTTTGAAGATCTAAATTGTGATTGGATTTATGATTGTTAATGAATTGAAAATACTTTATTTAAGACATTCCCTGCTCTTTCACTTTTAAACTGAAGTATTTGTATCAGCCCCATTGATATGAGGAGGAAGTAGGAGACAGACTGGCTGAGCTGCAGGGTCCCAAAGAGAGCAGGATGGGAGCTTTACCAGCTCTTCATGAGCCTGATATAGTGCCTAATGAAAAATAGCTCCCCTCTTCTACACAGACACTGAGGATAGCCAACTGGTTATGGATAGGGTGACCAAGCATCCTGCTTTGACTGGGACAATACCATTTTCTCAGCCCCTATCACTGAAGTCCCAACTTTTTTTTGGCAAAATGAGGCATTTGTCCCATTTACTCTTGCCAGCACACCATAAAAGTAGGAGTGCCCTTTGTGCTGGTGCACACAGAGGAATATTCAAGGAGGGCAAGCAGTGATGTTTTTGATGGGGTGAGCTGAGTTGGGACAGAAGCCTTGTCCATGTCTCTGCTATACTATGTCCCTCCAGTCTTGGAGCGATAGTTTGCAGAGTGAGCATGTGACACCACAATCAGAAGGCAGCATAGTCAAGGCCCTAATTCAAACTCTTCTTCAGCAAGGCCATGGAACCATGACTCATAAGCCCTGGGCCCCACTGGGCAAGCAGCTGGAAAGTGTCAAATATTACAATAATAATGGTGTAATTAGTATCTCTGGTGCTGCAGCAGCAACCATGCCATGCTTCCTCCTGCCCCAAGTAATCCCTGGAGCCTCCACCCTGGCCTCATGTCTTCCCCACGTCTGCCTTTCAGGGCCAGTCCCTGGACTACTTTCTAGGCCCCCATGACTCCAAACTAGTCACCTGTTTCTGCTGCAGCCTGGCAGGCATGCCATTTAGAAAGAGTGGTGGGGAAACACCTGCTACCTCTCTTAAGGTATGTCTACACTACAAAGTTAGTTCGAACTAAAGGACGTTAGTTCAAACTAACTTTCATAGGCGCTACACTAGCGCTCCGTTAGTTCGAATTTAATTCGAACTAACGGAGCGCTTAGTTCGAACTAGATAATCCTCATTCCACGAGGATTAAGCCTAGTTCGAACTTACTAGTTCGAATTAAGGGCTGTGTAAACCCTTAATTCGAACTAGTGGGAGGCTAGCCCTCCCCAGGTTTCCCTGGTGGCCACTCTGGCCAACACCAGGGAAACTCGTCTGCCCCCCTCCCGGCCCC